TAAAACACCAAACTTAACTCCGGTGACGCAAATAATAATAGAGAATATTATTATTAGTAGTATTATTATAAACTAATACATTTATAAGACATATATTGAATTTTATAGCAGTTGTTATCTTGAAATATTTTTATATATCACACTACCATTAGTTACGTAAAACATTTCGTGTATATTGATACTATAACGTGAACATCATACTCAACATTGGCCAAAAGTTCAAATATCATTGAAGAACCTAAATAAAGAGGAATTCAGATCATTTTACATCACCTACGTGAGACAAGCCCTAGAGTATGAAGCGCCCAAGGACAAAAGGCACAAAACAAAACTGGAAAAGCAACAGAGGTTTCCTTGAAGACTCATTCCAAAATTACGAAAGATGGAGTTTAACGAAAGGCCAAAAAAAGAACTTGAACTAGAGAAAGAAGAACTGTTCACAGCGAATGTTCTTAGAATAAGATAACATGGATGGAAGCTTGATAAACAGATGTGCCATAGAAATGTCAGAAAGTGTTTTTGTCGCTTAACAGAAGTGTGAAAATGGAATGAATAGAGGAAGCAGGAGGTAAAAACTCCAATAATATTTAAAAGAAATAGATATAGTGGAAAAGTAGATTGAGAGCCATTGCTTTAGACAACAGCTGGATGGTGGAATACAAGATCCAAAGCACACATACACCCACACACGCAAGATCACACACACGCACACACGCAAGAACACACACACACGCGCAGGAATTCACACACATACATACATGTGTGTGTGAGGTATAGGTGGCCGGTGGGTATGGGACCTGTGGCTATGGGATCTTTGGCCGAGTGGACAGCGCTTGGGACTCGTAATCCTAAAGACCGGGGTTCGATCCCCGGTGGAGGCGGAAATAAATGGGCAGAGTTTCTTTCACCCTGATGTTCCTGTTACCTAGCAGTAAATAGGTACCTGGGAGTTAGACAGCTGTTACGGGCTGCTTCCTGGGGTGTGTGTGTGTGAGAGAGAGAGAGGAAAAAAACCAGTTGATTAACAGTTGAGAGGCGGGCCGAAAGAGCAGAGCTATACCCCCGCAAGCACAACTAGGCGAATACACACACACACACATACATACAAACATGCACACACACACACACACACACGCGCGCATGCACACACATTTATACACCATATGAACCCAAGAACGGGTTGTCAGTCCCTCATAGCACTCGACACACACACTACAGATTCCATCATTCAACTTCATGTGCCTACGAGGGTAATTACCATATCATTAACACTGCAAACCATTAACACTGCAAACGAGGAGTCTCCAGCTGACATTTGTCAGTGGAGACAGGTCTCACTTCACAAATGTCATCAGCACTTATCCTGAAAGTCAGACCCCATCTCGTAAAGTCAGGTGTCCATTTCGAATGACTGCACTTCAGTTGGAGGAACCATAGCATTAGCAAATAAAGAGTTTGTATCATATGTGCACTTTAGCTTTATTTGTCGAGAGATTTATATATTCTCGAGGAGTTTAAATCTGGTTGATGTTTGGAATGTCAAATGTAAAACAGATGAAGACAGTAATATATACATACATACACTTTGCTTCTAACTTTACGGTTATTGAATGCTGTGAGTATTTTATTTATGACACAGAAGAGTGTCACAGCCACAGGAAAGGTGTCCAATACCATTCATAAATCAAATGAGCAAGCGTTAAAAATGGTAATTTTCTGCATTCTTTTGACTGATTCGCCAGTCTTAGTTCAAGAGCAAATTCGGTAGGCTGTTAAATACCTGGATAGATTATTCTAAGGAGAAATAAATATAATTTTGTACAATAATGACTCGGAAAATCATGAAATTAATATTTTATGTCTCCTTAAATTGCGCTTATTTAATAAAATATTTGAGATTTTTAAAACACAATACAATCAGATTGTATATAAATGTATATAAACAAGAAAATAATAAATACGGAATATGGAGTCATGTTCAGTGAAACATATATTAATGAAAACCTGCTGCCAATATACACCAATATTATATATATATATATATATATATATATATATATATATATATATATATATATATATATATATATATATATATATATATATATATATATAATATTGGTGTATATTGGCAGCAGGTTTCATTAATATATGTTTCACTGAACATGACTGCATATTCCGTATTTATTATTTTCTTAGAGAGAGAGAGAGAGAGAGAGAGAGAGAGAGAGAGAGAGAGACCGAGTGTGAGTGACTCCTACACAGATGAAGGCAGCATAAAAATAAAAGTTTGACACAATGAGAGGAAGCCCAAGAACACATTATCTCACAACTCCTCATTTCCCGAGTGATTTATCAAGCGTGCGTGTCTTCTTCTCTTTTATTCGAGTTTTATCTTTTTCCTTGATCCTCTGTGCATTCATTTCGGAAATTATGAATACTCGCGCTTTTATTTTGCTTCACAGATGGTATAAAATTTCGTAACAAATCACCTATATATTTTTCTTTTTCCTTTTTGGTGACCTGCAAATGTTGAGATCCCGTGTAATTTGTCCATAACTTTTAGTTTTTTTTTCTAAACTTTTTTAGCTGGGAGATTGCGAATCCCCTGTTTTTTTCTGCTTGGTTTGTTTTATTTGTTCACGAAACAGCAATTTGCATTTTCTGTGGGCTTGGTTTCGTTCTATTTCTATCGAGTTTTTTAATAGTTTAGACGGAGGATATACATTTAATGATTAATTTTGACTTTGTATTGATACAACTTTATAAATTTAATTTATGTTGCATGGTTTGCAGGTTATACTCATTTAAATTTTTATGTTTTTGTTTATTAATATTATTTATAATATTTTAAAATATTATTATTAACTTTTTATTAATATTATCAGGAAATATGGTATCAAAATTTATTTTAAACTGTATTAAATCATTTCCCATGTATGTACAGTTATCTGTTGGATTGAATTGATTTTTTTACTTAAATAGTAAAACTCTCTTGTTGCTAGCCACTAATTGAAAATAAATAAATAAATCAAAATGTGAATATTAAAGAAAAGTGTACTATTATTATCGTTATTATTATTAATATTAAAATAATTATCAGTATTTCTTTTCGTTATATTCTATTTTTTTGTTTAAACGAAGCCATTAATAATTTGTTTAATCTTGTACAGTTTTCTTGAAGTTAAAATATTTCTATGTCTGCCATGTCCGAGGATCATGTTGCTATGTAGGAGAAGTATTATTACTATGTAGGAGAAATTATGTCACTATGTAGAAGCATCGTGTTATGTTACTAATTATTAGGAACGTGTTATGTTACTAATTATTAGGAACGTGTTATGTTACTAATTATTAGGAACGTGTAAATTCAATTTTTGTTGTTATGCCTATGCAGAATGTTACAATGCAAATGTATGTTTTATAATACGTAGCTGCCATTTTTTTTAGTACATCTCTACTAAAATGTCACTTAAAGTAACGTTTTGATGTTACTTAAAACCTGTTCAAGTGGACTATAGGCTCCTGCTAAACGTTTCAATAACAGTGGTGTCTATGTTGTCTCTCTCAGGTCAGCCAGGGACTATGGAACGCTCTCCTGCTGGGCTACGAACTCTGTCGGTACTCAAGCTGATCCATGCATGTTTACTGTGATCGAAGCAGGTGAGGTGCTCTCTGAATGAGGTGTTTGGGTCAAGTGCTTTCAAGGTGAGGTGTTGACTGTCCACGGGGGAAGTTCTGACAATATGGGTGCTGACTCTCTGGGTCAGGTGTTGACTTGGAACAGTTGTATGAAAGCACCAAATACTTGTGTTTGGTGCTTTCTGTTTGGAGTCTAATGTTGATTGTCCGGATGAGGTGCTGATAATATGGGTGAGGTGGTGACTTTCTAGATGAGATGCTGAGAGTCAGGGTGAAGTGCAGACTGTCTGGGTGGGATGTGGACTGTCTGAATCAGGTGCTGACTGTTTGGGAGAAGTGTTTACCGTTTGGGCTAGGTGATGATTGTCTAGGTGGAGGAGTTATGATTCTCTAAGAGAGGTGCTGACTTAGTCAGGTCCTGACTGTCTGGGTGAAATGATGATTGAATGGTTGTGCATTTAATGCATAGTTTCAGCTTTCCCAGGAGTTCTAGTCCGTTATATAATGTTGCATTCAATTAAACTGATTAATGATGCCTTGATGGCTGTTGCAATATATATATCCCTGATATGAACTGTTCAACACACACACACACTGACACACATACACCCACCTTCCATCCATGATTACAAGAGCTTCTAGTGCTTGACTGTATTGTGTGTGTGTGTGTGTGTGTGTGTGCGTGCGAGTGCGCATGTGAGTCAGTTGCATAATAAACACAGTTTCTCTTAAGTCGTGGCTGTTCTCCCTCACTCACCCTTTCCCCTTCTCGAATACCTATCATTAACTTCCCCCCCCCCCTCACCTTCTATTTTTCCCCCTCCTCTCTCCCTCCCTCACGGTCACATTAACCTCTTCCCTCTTTCTCTCCCCCCTTCCCTCTTCTCAACCCACCAAAAGGGCCTCCGGAAAGAGTGGGAAACTGCATTTTGGTGAACCTAACCGTGGGCACCTTAGAAGTAGGCTGCACTCCTGGCAACGACGGTGGGCTTCCTCAGCGCTTCGTAGCACGGGTCTACACCTCCCCTACGCACACCTTATTAGCGACGATGGAGGAGGATGACCCGAGGTTTCACGTAGAGGGCCTGACTCCAGGGCAAGACTACCTCATTACCATCACAGCTGTCAACGCCAAGGGCGCCAGCGAGCCGGAGGAAATTGATGCCATTCGACTCAAGGTGAGGTCTTTCTCGTTGTTTAAGGAGTTGTTTACTCTGAGCTGCTTTGGTTTGCTTTGAGGCTTTTGTTTGGTATGGTATGCTCTGGTTTGCTTTGATGATGTGATGGGGTTTGGCTAGTTCTGGTTTGTTGTTGTAATGCTGTGGGTTTTTCTCCGATATGTTGTGAGTTATGATATATTGGGGCATGTATGAATGTTGGTATTATGTATGATACAGCATTAACAATATGGATAACGGAAAATACAGAAGACCAATTGACCTATCAGATGCGGATCCTATTTATATCCAATTAAATTCATTCATAAGTAACCTTAATCTTCGTCTTAAACATTCCTGTGTCTATTATTTTCCCGGTAATTGATTCCATAAATCTACAAACCTATTTTCAAACCAGAATTTACTCTGGTAATTCTTTTATCTAAACTTATCCAATTTATATCTATTGTTTCAAGTTCTATTTTTGTGTTGATATATTTAAAAACTTAATTAAAGATGAAGGTTTACATAAGTAAAGATTTAAATAAGTGATATATTTCAGGAAGATTTAAATAAGTGATATATTTCAGGAAGATTTAAATAAGTGATATATTTCAGGAAGATTTAAATAAGTGATATATTTCAGGAAGATTTAAATAAGTGATATATTTCAGGAAGATTTAAATAAGTGATATATTTCAGGAAGATTTAAATAAGTGATATATTTCAGGAAGATTTAAATAAGTTATATATTTCACTCAAGTCGCCCCTTAATCTTCGTCTTGCTAGAGAATGTATATTAAGCTTATATTAATCTCACTTCGCGACGTGGATTACTTAATCCTGGAGGTAATTAGGTAATCCTAGACACACGTTGACAATTGTTGTAATGCTGTGATTTGGTCAGAAATTTTTTGAGTTTGCTGTGATGCGAGTTATTTATTATTATGTGAGGCCATGTTATCTTATTTACATATATTGTTACATGTGAAATGTCGTAAATATGTGCGAATTGCTGCGAATGTTGATGTTTTGATATGATGTGATCAGTTGCGATATATTCTTCATAAATACATCAAGCGGAATGTGCTTTATCGCGCGATTTTCAATATTTACTTTTGAGATTAGTTGCAGAAAATTTCCAGTGCGTCTATATTTGTTATGTTTTAACATATCGTGAAGCTTGGTAAATATCTGGGGAACACACACACACACATACACACACACACACACACATACGTGTGCGAATACGAACGCGAACGAACAAAGGGTACGCGAACTAGGGGACACAGGTGGAAACTGAGTACCCAAATGAGCCACAGGGACGTTAGAAAGAACTTTTTCAGTGTCAGAGTAATTAACAGGTGGAATGCATTAGGCAGTGATGTGGTGGAGGCTGACTCCATACACAGTTTTAAATGTAGATATGATAGTTGATTGACGGTTGAGAGGCGGGACCAAAGAGCCAGAGCTCAACTCCCGCAAGCCCAATTAGGTGAGTATACACACACACACACACACACACACACACACACACACACACACACACACACACACACACACACACACACACATCGGGGGCCTCGTAGCCTGGTGGATAGCGCGCAGTATTCGTAATTATGTGGCGCGCATTTGATTCCCGCACGAGGCAGAAACAAATGGGCAAAGTTTCTTTCACCCTGAATGCCCCTGTTACCTAGCAGTAAATAGGTACCTGGGAGTTAGTCAGCTGTCACGGGCTGCTTCCTGGGGTGTGTGTGTGGTATGGAAAAAAAAGTAGTTAGTGTAGTTAGTAAACAGCTGATTGACAGTTGAGAGGCGGGCCGAAAGAGCAAAGCTCAACCCCCGCAAACACAACTAGGTGAACTAGGTGAACACACACACACAGAATACAGCCCATAGCAGTTATCTAGCTCCTAGGTACCTACTTACTGCTAGATGAGCAGGAGCATCAGATGAAAGAAACTGCCCCTATGTTTCTGCCTCGACCGGGAATCGAACTCTGTCTGTTAAGACTACGATTATCGATCGCTGTTCACTCGGCCACTCGGACTTTTGTGTACTCTCCTAGTTGTGCTTGCAGGGGTTGAGCTTCGGCTCATTGGTTCCGCCTTTCAACCGTCAATCAACTGGTGTACAGATTCTACTGGGCTCTATCATACAAACATTTGAAACTGTGTATGGAGTCTGCCTCCACCACATCACTGCCTAATGCATTCCACCTGTTAAGTTAACTACTCTGACACTCACACTATGTGTGTGTGTATCAGTGTAGTGTGTGTAAAAGATAAATATATGTAGTAGATATGATATTTGAGGTAATTAAAATATATTGGGAAGGATTGTGACATTGTGCACCTTGACTTTTGCACAGCTTACGATACGGTGTCACTCACAAGTCTGATTAGAGGAACCCATCCTTTTGACAGAGTCTTTCGCAACTATATGGTCGGTCGTATCAATATACGATAGGACAAAAAAAATAAAGCGTCCGGACAAAAATAAAGCTTAAAAGCCAAACTTAAATATTCCTAGGCTTAGTATAGCATCGATATGTAGTATATTAGGCCTCAGAAAGCACGTATTAGGCCTTGGATGGTTACGTTTGGCTAGGTCTTATTAGCAACATAAATATAAAATCGTTTCTGATTTGTCCAAATTCAGTACTAGAAAAGTCTACTTTCTGGTGGAGCATCACTACATATTTGAACTTTCCACCACATCGTTACTACAAGTAATTTAATTTTAAGAGGGTACGCTGGATTAGTCTCTCATGGTAGACATCTCTACCTCTCTGATGGTAGATCATGGTAGACATACTAACCTCACACTTACGAATACCTACTATAAGAGGGGCATGAAAACCTCTGTGTTTTGCAGAGTAATCATTAATACCAATCAAAGGCATAATAACCTTTGGTTATTAAGGTAACAAAGGTATAATAAGGCAATCACTACCACATGTTGTTGTTTTAAATTCAGCTACTCGGAACAGAAAGTTCCAAGCAGCACGGGCTATGGTGAGCCCGTCAAACTCACCTGACATAGGAGATGTGCCACTACCACATAGGACTGGTTATTATATACAATAATAACTTCCAGGTGTTGTACCTCTTGTAAGACGCCTGGCCGGTAAATGGCGTGAACAGGAAATCCAGTTAGCAACAATAAGTCGCCGCTGCTCCTCGCTACACCTCGCTCAGAATATTAAACGAGAAACAAAATTACCTCGTCTGAGTTAAAGAAGTTGTAGTTTTCGTTAAAACTTTTGTCGATGGTGCAATTACTCGGAAAACATCTTTTATTTTGTATGAGTTCTGGCGTAAAAATGCTTGCTTCAGCTCCTGGGTTCAATTTCTCCAGTTACTATCGAATTGTTTACTATCTCACTATGATCCTAAATTCTGTGATATGTAGTATTAATTCTCGTATTGAATCTGGCACCAAAACGTTACCAAACTTGTGCTGAAAAGTTCTTTCCTATAGACTGATGACTCCTCTCGCTTTGTGTGTTTTTTCGGTCTTGTTCCACATCTTGTCGAACAACCTGCTTGACAAACCTATCGATTTTCTCTAGTAATTTATGCATTGTGATTTTGTCCTTCCTGTTTCTTTTCTTCGGTGACGTGTGGGTGAGTTCATATGTTTTCGAAATTTATGGTTCATAAATACATTTATGAACCATAAATGGTTCATTTGTGAACCATATGGTTCATTTTGCCTCATACTGGCCTGAGGTCTGAGGCCAGTATGAGGCAAACATCTAAAATGTGAGAAATGTAATTACTAATTCTTCTTGTCTAATTGTATTTGGGCTTCAGCTGTTGGGCCCTGCCTCTCGACCATAGCTGACTGGAGCACTTGTTATTAAACTGAAAGGTTCTATTAATATGAATTCGTGTATGTTGTCTACTTTCTCCATTTTAATCTGAAGTTCACTTCACATCATCATTACTCTGACACGAAATATGTTTTGTCTAATATCCTTATGGCTCATTGGGCGATTAGATTTCCTGAGTACAGTCTAGATACTGACCAACCAGCCTGTTATTGTTTACTTGCTATCCCTCACAAGATCCAACCTCATAACCATAAATATACGACACCAAGTATGTTGATACTTGTTACGCCTTGACAAAACATGACCTATTGGTGGAGAGAATGGGTTGTCAACCATGCACACGCCACTCGTGTTATCCAGTTTAGGTGTGTTTCATAAAACATATTTCTATGAGGAAATCTCGTGTTATCTCTCCAGGTTAATTTTTTTCTGCTGTACTCCATATGCGTTTTTTTCTGCTGTACTTCCAGTTTTTACCCATTTACATTAATTTGTATTTCCAAAATTGTACCGCCAGCATCTGTATATTAGATCAATCTCCTAAATCTAGTTGAGGCGATCATGTAGCTTGTTAGAATCACTGTTGATTTTCATCCTCTATATCAGTTCATACATAAGACTTAAGGTCGCAATTGCATATGAATTTAAATCTGCAATTTTAGATCGAATGTCTTGTGCATGATCTTCTGTTCTGTTTGACCTCCTCACTGCTATATGACCTAATTTAATTTCTCCGCACACACAAAATTGTATTTCCATTTTGTCGATAGAGTTGTTATACAACATTAAGTGAATTATTAGTATTAAGTGAGTTTAGGGCTCAGCATAAGCAACAGGGCTCCATTAAGGAACATATAATCTCTTCCCACAACCAAACCATCGCCAGAGAAATCCTAGTAAACAACACAGAAATCATCGATAGATACAGCGATAGCAGGCGGCTTCACGTTTGCGAGGCATTACACATCAAGAAGTCAACACCAGCAATCAACAGCCAATTAATGCACAACTATATTCTACCCACCTCAAGACTCCGCTCCAATATAGAAGCATCAAGAAATATAGACCAATAGGCTTTCTACAATCACTTCTATTCAATACCCATTGTTTCATGTTCTGGCTTGTGTTGATGAAATTAATACCTTATTAAATACCACTTCACCCCATCCACCTCACTCAAATGTAGATAAAAACAAAATCGGAGATGTTCTATTCTATTCAGTAAGTTCTATTCAGTTGTGTATGTGTTAACTAAAGTCTTTGAAAATGTAATAAGTTTTACGAAACGCGCTCAAGTGTCGCGTCAGACTAGAAATAAAAATGAATTTTGGAGAATTGATTTTTTAATTACCTCCAACAGTGAAAAGAAATGTACGAAAGATTGAGAAAATTCGTGTTAGAATTATTAATCTTACTTTTTCGGTCATATTTAATAATATATGTCTACAGGAAAGACTGCTACCAAAATATACTAATATATATATATATATATATATATATATATATATATATATATATGTATATATATATATATATATATATATATATATATATATATATATATATATATATATGTCGTACCTAGTAGCCAGAACGCACTTCTCGGCCTACTATGCAAGGCCCGATTTGCCTAATAAGCCAAGTTTTCCTGAATTAATATATTTTCTCAAATTTTTTTCTTATGAAATGATAAAGCTACCCATTTCATTACGTATGAGGTCAATTTTTCTTATTGGAGTTAAAATTAACGTACATATATGACCGAACCTAACCAACCCTACCTAACCTAACCTAACCTATCTTTATAGGTTAGGTTAGGTAGCCGAAAAAGTTAGGTTAGGTTAGGTTAGGTAGGTTAGGTAGACGAAAAACAATTAATTCATGAAAACTTGGCTTATTAGGCAAATCTGGCCTCGCATAGTAGGCATAGAAGTGCGTTCTGGCTACTAGGTACGACATATATATATATATATATATATATATATATATATATATATATATATATATATATATATAAATATGTATATATATATATATATATGCGAACAAGCCTGAATGGTCCCCAGGACAATATGCAACTGAAAACTCACACCCCAGAAGTGACTCGAACCCATACTCCCAAGAGCCACGCAACTGGTATGTACAAGACGCCTTAATCCACTTGACCATCACGACCGGACAAAATGAGGTGATAGCCGAGGCTATTTGAACCACCCCACCGCCGGCACTCGGATAGTAATCTTGGGCATAGCATTTTACCAAATCACCTCATTCTTTGGGGCACACGTGAGGAACACAAATGCGAACAAGCCTGAATGGTCCCCAGGACAATATGCAACTGAAAACTCACACCCCAGAAGTGTCTTGTACATACCAGTTGCGTGGCTCCTGGGAGTATGGGTTCGAGTCACTTCTGGGGTGTGAGTTTTCAGTTGCATATTGTCCTGGGAACCATTCAGGCTTGTTCGCATTTGTGTTCCTCACGTGTGCCCCAAAGAATGAGGTAATTTGGTAAAATGCTATGCCCAAGATTACTATCCGAGTGCCGGCGGTGGGGTGGTTCAAATAGCCTCGGCTATCACCTCATTAGTCCGGTCGTGATGGTCAAGTGGATTAAGGCGTCTTGTACATACCAGTTGCGTTGCTCCTGGGAGTATGGGTTCGAGTCACTTCTGGGGAGTGAGTTTTCAGTTGCATATTGTCCTGGGGACCATTCAGGCTTGTTCGCATATATATATATATATATATATATATATATATATATATATATATATATATATATATATATATATATAAAAAAAAAAAAAAAAAAAAAAAAAAAAAAAAAAAAAAAAAAAAAAAAAAAAAAAAAAAAAAAATATATATATATATATATATATATATATATATATATATATATATATACATACATATATATTAGTATATTTTGGTAGCAATCTTTCCTGTAGACATATATTATTAAATATGACCGAAAAAGTAAGATTAATAATTCTAACACGAATTTTCTCGATTTTTCTTACGTTTCTTTTCACTGTTGATGGTAATTCAAAGATCAATTCTCCAAAATTCATTTTTATTTCTAGTCTGACGCGACACTTGAGCGCGTTTCGTAAAACTTATTACATTTTCAGACTTTAGTTTACACAAACACACACAACTTTAACTGAATAGAGCTTAAACATCTTTCGAGTTTTTATACCTACATTTGGGTGAAGTGACATGTTACAATAGTTTTGGATGAGGTGAAAATAAACTTTTAACACAAGACAGAACACGAAACAATGAAACAGGTATTAAAAGTAGGTAACTGCAGAAGGCCTATTTTTATTGGCCCATATTTCTTGATGCTTCTATATTGGAGCGGAGTCTTGAAGTTCACCCAAATGTAGGTATAAAATCTCGAAAGATGTTTAAGCTCTATTCAGTTAAATTTGTGTGTGTTTGTGTAAACTAAAGTCTTTGAAAATGTAATAAGTTTTACGAAACGCACTCAAGTGTCGCGTCAGACTAGAAATAAAATTGAATTTTGGAGAATTGATCATCAACATCAACAGTGAAAAGAAAAAGAAAATTACCATCAACAGTGAAAAGAAACGTAAGAAAGATCGAGAAAATTCGTGTTAGAATTATTAATCTTACTTTTTCGGTCATATTTAATAATATATATATATATATATATATATATATATATATATATATATATATATATATATATATATATATATATATATATATATACAGGTTTATAAATGAATAAATCAAAAAAATATTAGCAACGTGTGTGTGTGTGTGTGTGTGTGTGTGTGTGCGCGCGCTTATACAATCTAACCTCTTTCATGGCAGGACGATTTTGTTTTAGATTTAGCTATTCAGAACTAAGTGTCCATGTAGCACGGGCTATGGTGAGCCCCGTAAAGGCAGGACGACGATTTGGCTCCGTCATTTTATACCAGAACAGTCACCGCGTCGCGTAGCCAATCCTTTCAAACAACAATAGTCAATTGAGCGTCATATGATTGTTCTCTTGTCTCCTACCCCGGGTCTTTCTCACGCTTCAGCGAGAAAGCATTGGTTTAGCCAGCGAGAAACAATGGGCAGAGTTTCTTTCACCCTATACCCCTGTTACCTAGCAGTAAATTAGGTACCAGGGTGTTAGTCAGCTGTCATGGGCTGCTTCCTGGGGGTGGAGGCCTGGTCGAGGACCGGGCCGCGGGGACACTAAAAACCCCGAAATCATCTCAAGATAACTCAAGATAACTTCAAGAATTAAGTTTTGTGTGTTTAACCTACTTTGTTTTGGTTTTAACGAGCATAGTGTTGGTTAATGAGCAACATATTGGCTCGTAGTATATTTGAGAGCGTTTATTATGCTGGGTTTTGTTTTATAGTGAGTTATATTAGTTAATCGTCGGAATGGTTTATAAAGATTTGTGTGTGTTTATTGTTGACCAGACCACACACTAGAAGTTGAAGGGACGACGACGTTTCGGTCCGTCCTGGACCATTCTCAAGTCGAATCGACTTGAGAATGGTCCAGGACGGACCGAAACGTCGTCGTCCCTTCAACTTCTAGTGTGTGTGGTCTGGTCAACATACTTCAGCCACGTTATTGTGACTCATCGCCTGCGTGTGTTTATTGAAATATATATTGATTTAACGCCTGCGTGTGTTTATTGAAATATATATTGATTTAACGAGTTTTGTATTGGCATAATGAACATTGTATTTAAGAGAGTTTATATTATTATAACAACCCATTCTCCTTTTTAGATAATATTTTTTTTGTAACTATGTGTATCCTAGTACAAAGATTGCCGTTCTAAGCAATTAGATAGCACAACTCTGTGCTTTATAGTCTGAAATAAATGAAGCTAAAAAAACTAAATATTCCTAGGCCTAAATATAATATAGTTCACATATATACTATTTTAGGCCTCAGATATCGTGTGTTAGGCCTAGGAAGGATTGATTAGGTTAGTTTAGTCTATCTCTGCAACATAAGTAGAAAATAGTTTTCCAGTTTGACCAACATAATAGTGCCGATTTCTACTTTCTAATTTCGTTGTAAGTCGGTATATTTACTATGGTCCTCATCATTACTATAGGTATTACCAAAGCGGGAGGATGGGCTGATTATAACGAAGTCTGTATTGGTTTAACGAAATTTTATTAGAAAAACGACCATTTAAAGTGATCGAGTTCTAAATCTGTTTAACGAACATTGTACTAATATAATGAACTTTCACAGACTTAATTATTTGTGAATTAGTATAATAATCTTTATATTTATTTACCGAGTCAATATATTGAATTATTGATCTTCGGTTCAACGTGTTTTATTTAACGAGTTGATGACCAGACCACACACACTAGAAGGTGAAGGGACGACGACGTTTCGGTCCGTCCTGGACCATTTACAATCGGCTTGAGAATGGTCCAGGACGGACCGAAACGTCGTCGTCCCCCTCACCTTCTAGTGTGTGGTCTGGCCAACATACTTTAGCCACGTTATTGTGACTCATCGCCTGCATTTAACGAGTTCTTTATGCTCTCGGTTTTTTCCCCTCCATTCTTCAGGTAGCAGAGAAGAGAATGGGGGAGGTAGCAGCGCCTCCCATGTCTCCTCTGGTGGGCGTGTTCCTAGGTTTAGTGGGCGGATTCGTGCTGTTGCTACTGGCAGGAATCCTACTCACTAGAGTCCGCTCCAACAAGTAGGTTCCTCTGATTCCTTTACTTTCATTTAAAAACAAAATAATATTTATAAGCAGTTAGGAGTATTTTGGGGGATTTTTTTTGTGCCTCCTGTTATATCTTGTGTATTTTTAGGATATTAAAATTTTTATGGGTTGATTTCTCTGCTTCTTGCAATGATGCATATATTTTCAGGTTATCTTTGTTTACTTGTATGTCTTTAATTTTGTTAACTATGTTTTTTGTTTTGATTTTTTATTCTTCATTATCAGTTTTGCTGTTGACCAAACCACACACACTAGAAAGTGAAGGGACGACGACGTTTCGGTCCGTCCTGGGCCATTCTCAAGTCGATTTTCAATTTCAATTCCTAGACCATTCTCAAATCTAAATCGACTTGAGAATGGCTCAGGACGGACCGGAACGTCGTCGTCCCTTCACTTTCTAGTGTGTGGTTTGGTCAACATATTTCAGCCACGTTATTGTGACTCCTCGTCTCCATCGGTTTTGTTATTGTTCTGTTCCCTTTTAATTCGTATCTTTCATCGATTAGGTTTTCATTTTTGTGAGTTCCACTTTAGCAACAAGTTCCTGTTGTTAGTTGGTCTTTTCTGCTCGTCAGTCACCTGCACTGTGTTCCTATACTCTGTTTTTTGTATTCTTGTCGCTTCCCTGTTCCTCTTTCTCCTTCGTTCTGCCTAGCATACTTCGCCTTTTTTTCAACCATTTTTGGCACCCCACCATTTCGATATTCTCTCGCATTTACACCTACACCCTAATTTCCACTATTTATATTTCATGCAATCCAAGCTCCTCCTACACCTTTCAGATTCCATCTTCGCTTGCTTCCAACATCTTGTTTACTTCTACACCTCTCCCTGCATCTTCCAGAACCCTGCTATGTCTACCTATACTCTCTTACACCTATTCTCTCCAGTTTCCTTTACACCATCAACCCTCTTCTTCTTCCTCCCTCATCCTTACACCCATCTGTCCCCCGTACACTCTCCTGATACCTCCTACACCCCTACATTCTCAACTACACACTACGTCCTCCCTTTACAACCTCCTGTTTAACGTTATCATCATCTTCCCCATTTGTTCTCGTTTACACTATTCTCCCTCCCAGTCCACACCTTTAGTCATTCCTCTACCCTCTTGTCATCCCTACACCCTTACCCACAACTTTATTCCTCCTTTCTGCACACTCTTGCTTCCTCCATTCCCTCTTGCTCTCTATTACTCCCTGCTGTTCCATCCACACCCTCATGCTTTTCCTTAAATCTCCCTACGTTAATCATACTCCCAGCTCCTCACTACACCCTCCTATTTCACCTACTCTACTGCTTTCCCGACACCCTCCTGCTCCTCCTAGACTCTCCTGACCCTTAACACCCTACTGATCACCCTTACACTCTCCTGCTCCCCCTTTAGAAACCTTCCTGCTTGCCCCTTTTTACACCTCTCGCTCCTATTCCCCCTCCCCACAAGGGATCTCTTGCCACTTGGAAATACTTTTCCTCATTAACCATACAAGAGTCCGAGCTTTGAAAAAAAAACACTCCCCCTAAGCACTGCTTCCTCGTCTCTATCTCTGTCTCACCTTCTTTAAACGCAAATTCGCCTTCTCACCTGTCTGGCCCCCACACCTGTGGCTCATTAACCTCGCCCCACCATATCGTCGTGTTCACTCACCATCGCTACTGATGTTAGCGTGATCATATATCCTTCGCTCTCACACGCTAACCCAGCGTAAGTCACAGCACAAACACCTGCATATATCTACGCCTATTAATAGGCTATATAGGCCGGCGTTCCTGCCAGCGAGAGGGAAATGTACATACAATTGTTGGCAAACTTGTACAATCACTCTTATACACTGAGAGTAATACATATTCATGTATTCGTATATTTACATACATTAATGACTGTCTCGCTCAATGAGTTACAGGTAAAGCAGGACTCTAGCCCCCCCTGTGTATACTCCTACGTGTGTTTGTTAGTAATATATACACCAGTACTCTCTGTGTACTAGCGTGTGTATATTTGCATGCACATGAATATATACAAAATCATTAGCCCGCGGGATAACACCTGTGTAACGACAGTATATTCTCACATATATCCATTGTAGCAGGTATGCAAGCGTTTACAATAACATGCTGACATACACACGCAGGCTTCGAATCCCGTTTGGGAATTATCGGTTACAGTTGTTTGTTTAACCACCCGATGGGAAAGTGAGAGGGTTGGGGAAGGAACTACGAGTTATAAAATTGATGGAGAGATTTTTTTATCTTGAAACACAAGACTCGCCACAAAGATGCTCAAAACAAACTCGGTTTTTCTTACGCGCAAATGGTAACGAGAAACATATAACTTATTCATGTCAACAAAATAGGTGAGAGACACCAATGAATTTTATCAGTTGTGAGTAATACGAACGTAAAGGCATGAAATAGTTATAGATAAAATAGAATTATACACACACACACACACACACACACACACACACCTTATAGGGGCCTCGTAGCCTGGTGGATAGCGCGCAGGACTCGTAATTCTGTGGCGCGGGTTCGATTCCCACACGAGGCAGAAACAAATGGGCAAAGTTTCTTTCACCCTAAGTGCCCCTGTTACCTAGCAGTAAATAGGTACCTGGGAGTTAGTCAGCTGTCACGGGCTGCTTCCTGGGGTGTGTGTGTGTGTGTGTGTGTGTGTGGTGTGTGGGAAAAAAAAAAAAAAAAAAAGTAGTTAGTAAACAGTTGATTGACAGTTGAGAGGCGGGCCGAAAGAGCAAAGCTCAACCCCCGCAAAAACACAACTAGTAAACACACACACACACACACACACACACACACACACACACACACACACACACACACACACACACACACACACACACACACACACACGGTCAGTCTTAAACAATCGTCGACATACATACAAATCACCCCTATAGCTGACATTAACAACCACGAAACTAATCGTCAGCTCACCAATTTAACCACTGGGGGCTGGACGGTACAGTGACGGTCTTGCTTCATGCAGGTCGGCGTTCAATCCCCGACCATCCACAAGTAATTGGTCACCATTCCTTTCCTCTCCGTCCCATCCCAAATCCTTATCCTGACCCCTTTCCCAGTGCTATATAGTCCTAATGGCTAGGGTCTTTCACCCCCACCCCTGATAGTTCCCTTCCCTTTACCTATTTATAGTCCTTACCTATTTCCCTCAATCAGATGCAGCTGTATTATACATCGAGATCGAAACGTGGGCGGCGGAGGGGGTCAGGCTACTACGACCGCGAAAATGTGTTCGAGCGGGCGGGGCCTGAACGCTCGGTCTACCCAGGACGAAGACGAAGACGACGACGACGAAGAGGGACCGGACGTAGTGAAAACAGCCAACGGTAAGGCCATTTTATTGTGTCTGATGTAGGTGGAAATGGCCAAGATGGAGGAGTCTTAACAGTGATTTTTAGCGATTTCCTCCTGATAGTTCCCTTCCCTTCTCTTCCCTTGGCAGTGGTTAATTGTCCAACGAGTAATTTGTTTTGTTATTGTTCTTAACGAGGAGGGAAAAGGCCAAATTTAAGGTCCTTGAACGGGCCTTTTTCTTTGCGTTGGCGAAAAGTGATAACGCAAAGCTTCATTATGAGTCAAACAGAGCAATTTTTATGACATTTTACTGAGACAATTTTTTGGAAGAGGCGTTAGAATGGGAATTGTATACCAACGCTATTGGAAACTGAAGTAAACCATCACGTAGTTGGCCAATGAACGTAAGAATAACGGTAACTGCAGAGGGCCTATTGGCCCATACGAGGACAAAGTCCTAGCAAAGTACTGTGGTGGCAAAGTACTGTGGTGGCAAAGCACTGTGGTGGCAAAGTACTGTGGTGGCAAAGTACTGTGGTGATAAAGTACTAGCAGAGTACTTTGGTGACAAATTACTAGCAAAGTACTGTGGTGGCAAAGTACTAGCAGACAGTCATGCTCTCACAATATTCAACGCAACCGGTTCATTTCTTGTTTCAGAGACGGCGCAGCTCCTGGAGGGACAAAAGTGTCCTGAAATCGTTCCAACGAGAAGACCTCAGTCCTATACGCACCCATCGGTAGGTACAAGAAAGCGAAATCAGAATTTTTATCATACTTCAATACATAATTTATTGTAAATGTGAATACACCTTAAAATATTTGCGAATATTTCTGCCAAACTGAATTTTCTACTTTCGTTAAATTCATTATTTTCTCATTCGAACAGGCAATAGCTCCGTCAGGTTCCAGTGAAACACCTCAGCTGACTCCGAACGGAACAGGTGGCCGGGCGCTCTATAGGGACGCTGGGAGCCCTCACCATCTGGGTCGTGACGAGAGCTTCGTGTAACTGTGACAAACGATATTGTGTATCGTGGACTGTACAGATCCACCTGGAACACCTACAGAAGAAGTGGTAGTGGGTGGCCAAGACCAGATGGTCAGCACATCCATACGGGTGACATCTGAAGCTGGCCTAGAGGCGACAGCACATCCATACGGGTGACATCTGAAGCTGGCCTAGAGGCGACAGCACATCCATACGGGTGACATCTGAAGCTGGCCTAGAGGCGACAGCACATCCATACGGGTGACATCTGAAGCTGGCCTAGAGGCGACAGCACATCCATACGGGTGACATCTGAAGCTGGCCTAGAGGGACAGTCGGTCACTCACGTATTTTGTCTCTCTGAAGGCATCGGCAAAACTGGAATTGATGATAATCGTCCGTATCTGCCCTCTTTGGACATCTGCAGTAACAGAGACGGCTTCGGCCACAGCAGTAACATAATTCGGGACAAGTGCGCATGTGAACACCGAACTGATAAGCGAGTTTCGGGGAAAAGATGGCTGTGTGTTTCACCCATATACATGGAGTAGATGTATAACAGACTCACGTGGAATGTGTATATATAATACAAATGTGGGATTGTGCATAACGCGTTCTACGAAACGGTGTTTACGTACCAACACACATTGCCATGAGCCATACAATCATTGCAGCGCCAGCTGGTCTTTAAGCGACCAGCAATGGAACTTTGGTGCGACGTAACGAGGAATCAGTGCTCCTTAAGGAAATAAACGGGTGATAATTGTGTTGATATTACAAGACTCTTGAGTGTGTGTGTGCGCGTGTCGACGCTGTTCAACGCGCGGAGCCTCTTTTACACTGCCACAAGTATCGCGTGAAGAAGAGACAAAGACACCACCTAGACTGAGTCATAGAGTCCCTACAGGATTGTCTTTTTTGACGTAATCTTTGACACCGAAGTCGTCGAAGTGATGATTAGATAATGAAGTTCATGCCAATCACAGATGAATAAAACAAAATCATTATGTTAATGGGGAGCCGTCTATAATATGGTGATTATATTATACATATATATATATATATATATATATATATATATATATATATATATATATATATATATATATATATATATATATATATATATACACGTACGTGTGTGTTTGCTATTTTAAAATACAGTGCAAGTAGTTTTATACTTGTTGATACCAACCAACACTGTTATCTTGAATACATAACAAAGGATCAAATGTATTTCTTGGTACATTGCAAATATGCAGCAGAGCTTTTTGTAATAATTATTTTGGTTTGGTGAAGATAGCGATTTCTTGAGTCTCTGTTTTGGAAATATTTCTCATATTATGGAAATATTTCTTTTAATAATGACAAATATTTCTCATAATAAACAGACTTGGCTGTAATGAGTCTGAGAAAAAACGCGATTGACTTTTTAAATATATCAATTCGATCAAACATTAAATCAGCATTGATATAAATTTAATTTAGTGATAATTTAAAATTGTCGATGATATTTGTAATGTTTCTGTCCAAATTATACATCAATTCTCGTTTTTCTCTCCAAATGGACAATCTTTTTATTTAGAATATCCTGTACGAAAACAAGCAGCTATGTTTAAAGTTAGGACATGGTAAGGACACAGTAATACCCACCTATGGAATTTTATCAATAGAAGCTGCTGGACATAATTTTCCAAACATAAAATATATCAATTAATAATATATTTTTTTCTCAATACGGAAAAAGCCATCCAATACCTTAACAAAGCTAAAATATCCTACAGATGTCATCTAGTAAATGAGAAAACTTTTTGGTCAATACTCTATGTGGAGTAAACTCAGTAATAAACTAATAAACAAGAAACCGCTCCTAGTTAAAGACTCACAAATTTCACAAACACGGAATTGAAACAAGAAAATGTTTAAAACTTTCCAGTTGCGAAAGGAAATCCACATTTAGTTGCTTCTCCGTGAAAATTCACGTGAATCTTGTGAGTTAGAAAAAGCTTTTCCAAAGCCAGAGAAGCAAGAGAGTTTGAACGGAGACATAACTAACAAATTGGGACTGTATGTGTGAGTAAGGTTTTGTGTCAATCTCTTTATCTCCTCTCTCTCTCTCTCTCTCTCTTTCTTGGTGTACATAGTGTTCATGATGCCTTGAAATAGTCTACAGTAGGTCCACATAATAGATTTTGTATGGAATCTGTGGTATGTTTAGTTTTATATACGTATTATCATACATGATAATGTTCATTGTGAATTGGTCACGTCAAGGAAAGCAAAATAATATATATATATATATATATATATATATATATATATATATATATATATATATATATGTCGTACCTAGTAGCCAGAACGCACTTCTCAGCCTATTATGCAAGGCCCGATTTGCCTAATAAGCCAAGTTTTCATGAATTAATTGTTTTTCGGCTACCTAACCTACCTAACCTAATCTAACCTAACTTTTTCGGCTGCCTAACCTAACCTAACCTATAAAGATAGGTTAGGTAGGGTTGGTTAGGTTCGGTCATATATCTATGTTAATTTTAACTCCAATAAATAAAAATTGACCTCATACATAATGAAATGGGTAGCTTTATCATTTCATAAGAAAAAATTATAGAAAATATATTAATTCAGGAAAACTTGGCTTATTAGGCAAATCAGGCCTTGCATAGTAGGCTGAAAAGTGCGTTCTGGCTACTAGGTACGACATATATATATATATATATATATATATATATATATATATATATATATATATATATATATATATATGACATTGTCAGACCACGAAGGAAGGATTGAAACAGGAATTTCCTTAAGTACTTCCGTATTTAATTATACATCTTCAGATTCAATCCTTCCTTCGTGGTCTGACACTCACATTTTCCATCACGTGATAATTTTCGGGATTTACACACACACACGCACAATTATATATATATATATATATATATATATATATATATATATATATATATATATATATATATATATATATATATATATATATTGTTGAATACGACCGAATGGGTAAGATAAATGATTCTAACACGATTCTTCTCAATATATGATTTTCTTCACTGTCAAGGGAAGTTGAAAATTAGCTCTCCAAACTTCATTTTCACAATTTAGTATGGTCAAAAGCCTAGGGATGCGTTTCACAAGGAACTCTTTGCATTTTCAAACACAAATTTACCATGCTTTTTCAAAGGCTTATGTTCGCAAGACAAAGACAGTAGAATCAAGAACATAAGCTGCTTATGTTCATGCATGCAATTTTACTATTAATACGCATTATGTTTCATCCACTTATTCATCTCAATCATGGCCTGTACCACCTCACCCCAAACGAATATAAGCCTTTTCAAAAGCATGGTAAATTTATCTTTGGAAATGTAAGGAGTGCCTTGCGAAACGCATCCCTAGGAGTCAGACCATAATAAATTGTGAAATTGAACTTTGGAGAGTTAATTTTTCAACTTTTCTCGACTGTGAAGAAAAATATAAGAAATATTGAGAAGGTTCGTGTTAGAATCTTTAATCTTACAATTTCGGTCATATTTAACAACATTTGTTTACAAGAGAGACTTCTACCAATATATATTATATATATATATATATATATATATATATATATATATATATATATATATATATATATATATATAACTCAAAACTTCACACCCCAAAAGTGACTCGAACCCAGACAGCCAGGGGCACTATGCAACTGGCATACCTGGTACTTTAATCACTTGAACACTTCAGAAGGGTGGACCCTTCTGAAGATGTATTAATAAATACCAAAGTACTTAAGGAAATTCCCGTTTCAATTCTTCCTTCGTGATCTGACACTGTCATATATATATATATATATATATATATATATATATATATATATATATATATATATATATATATATATATATATATATATATATTAAAATGAGATTCCGGTGTATTGCATCAGTACAGAAAATGTTTTTATATATATATGTGGTATTTGTTGTAAAATTTAATAAAAGTTATCTTTCATTTAGGGGTTAATTGAGAGAAATCTATATTTCTAATTTAATGTAAAAGTACAGTGTGTAAATGCAGTTGTGATTGATGTTCTTGTACTTTACATTTCATCTGCTAAATTAGCAAGGTAAAGCAATTTTTTGTTAATTCTAGTAATCACTAAAAAGACTTAAATAATGTTTACCTGACTATATTTCATTCGTACAAAACAGAGAGCTATATTTTTCTTTTCGGGGCAATGGGCGATTCATTTATTTATCAAAATGTAATTATATGAAGAATAAGAACAGTGAAAGATGTAGATTTTTAAAGAATGGAGCTTCCACAAAAATTTTAACAGTGTGTGAGTTTTTGTTGTTGTGAAAGTTTAACAATTAATATTATATAATATATATATATATATATATATATATAAATATAAATATATATAAATATAAAAATATATATATTTAAATAAAATATATATATTTATATATATATAAATATATATATATATATATATATATATATATATATATATATATATATATATATATATATATATATATATATATATATATATATATATATACGACATATATATATATATATATATATATATATGTCGTATATATATATATATATATATATATATATATATATATATATACGACATATATATATATATATATATGTCGTATATATATATATATATATATATATATATATATATATATATATATATATATATATATATATATATATATATGTCGTACTTAGTAGCCAGAACTCACTTCTCAGCCTACTATGCAAGGCCCGATTTGCCTAATAAGCCAAGTTTTCATGAATTAATTGTTTTTCGACTACCTAACCTAACCTAACTTTTTCGGCTACCTAACCTAACCTAACCTATAAAGATAGGTTAGGTTAGGTTAGGTAGGGTTGGCTAGGTTCGGTCATATATCTACGTTAATTTTAACTCCACTAAACAAAATTGACCTCATACATAATGAAATGGGTAACTTTATCGTTTCATAAGAAAAAAATTAGAGAAAATATATTAATTCATGAAAACTTGGCTTATTAGGCAAATCGGGTCTTGCATAGTAGGCTGAGAAGTGCGTTCTGGCTATTAGGTACGACATATATATATATATATATATATATATATATATATATATATATATATATATATATATATATATATATATACATAAAGGTGGGAGAAATATATATATACATAATATCATTAGTACATAGTATCTTTTCTACAAAGTTACTGAGGTAAAACTTGTCATAATGGAAAGTGTAGGGAAGAAGTGAGAGAGAAAGAGTGAGAGAAAGAATCATGAAAGTATTAAGGGGTGGGAAAAGAGACGGACAAAAGAGGGGGGAAAGAAAGACAATGAGAAAGAGTGTGATGTGATAAAGAAAGAAAAACTGAGACAGATTTACAGACACAAGAAGAGTGGGACAGAGAAAAGCATCGAGAAAAGGAGATGAAAGGACGATAATGTGTAATAAAAGCATATTGAAAGACGACTTAAAGACATATCAATATATTAATATATATATATATATATATATATATATATATATATATATATATATATATATATATATATATATATATATATATATATATATATTCAACTACCTTTGCTTTTTAATGAGACAAATTATTTTATTTACTTTTAATAACTGCATTGGAAGAAATGCAAAAGCCAAGCTGATGCGTGCAAACAAACAGTGTGAGCGAGTGAGCCCTGTGCACTGTTCTTGCAAAAGACACGAATAAAATCTGCCTCTATAATGGACAGATAAATTATATCAAGTAACTGACCTATGTTACACTGCTGGAACCATCTGCTACATTCAGTCTTGTAATAACTGAGAATACGGACGTGATTAACTTCCATATCTCTTTGACTGTATTTAACCTGTTAACTTGAAACTACCAATTAGAAACTACGTGCAAAACTGTAAACACTGTCACTGATGAGAGTAGACAGGGGGTGAGATGGGTAGCTTTTCAATTCGT